ACGTCCAATCAGCGTTGGCTTTGAGGCGGGTTGAGGTGTGACGCAACGAGAAGCGCGACAGTTCAGTCTAAAGAACATGGCGGCTTCAGCCGATTAAAAACTAGCGTTAGCCATATCAATAAATCAGAGAAGCTAATCTGAGCTTGGAAGTGAGACAGACACAGCACTGCTGATGCAGAGCGCTATGATCACTCCTCTGGAACTGTTTATTAACGGCCAAACTAACTTAAAATGTCGAAACCTGCCGGCAAAATACTTTCGTTTTTATTATCCTGGTGCCTGCAGTTTGTACCACATACCTGGAAAAACACAAAAATCTATTTCCGTTCACCACCAACAATAGGGGAAAACCCTCAAGAGGCAGCCGGGCCTGTGCCTGCTGCTGCTGGGGATTTCCAGTGACAGCGCACCGACGGTATGTGGGGGTCTGAGTGCCTCCAACGGAGAAATAATATTTGAAGACAGGATATTAATCTGGATGAACTGACTGGACAGATGATGCTTTCAGCTCGGCTTTCTCACTTGAAAATGCATTAAAACTATTTTTTACCCACTGATCACAGCAAATATAGCAAAACCGCTTTCTGCAGCAGGAGCATCAGACGCATCTGGACACACTTTACTAGACGCGCCTCAAGAGCAGCGCATCTGACCTTAATGTGGACAAGCATCAAAATGAAGCAGCAGGTGTTTCTTTGATGCTGCAATCATGTGCGGTGTGAACGTAGCATGACATGTCTTTACTAAGCTATAAGTTAACCCTCATTTCTTTAACCCTAAACATATTACTCCTTTAGATTGTATTCTTCTTCCTGAAGTTGTGGTTTTTGTTGCTTTTTTTTTCTATGTATTGAAATAAAATATGTTAATGACTGTAAATCATATAAAGTTTGAGCATTTGCTGCTAATAGAAATATAACCACTTTGCAATAATAATAAAATACAACATAACATTTAAAATAATTAGCAGGTCTATAACTATAAATAAGTTAATTTCCAGCGCTTTATTGTCATTACGCTGTCACAAGTATAGAGCAACGTAATGAACTCTCTGTATTTAACTCATCACATTGGGAAGTTCCCAAGCATAGAGATGTCTGTGGCATGCACTCACTTAACATAGACCTACATAATCCTACAATAACATGATATTTACAGTTGATTTATTAAAAAATGCTTTTCAGTAAAAGTCAACAACTCCAATAACAAACGATAATTTCATTCAAAATGTATTTATTAAAAATGCTTAACAATTCCTGTAATGAATGAATAGCACAATGAAAGAAATAATGTCTCATCTCAACATCCCTCACTTAACAATAAAAGTTAACAATAACTTTCAACTCCCAATAACAGATGATACTCAGCCTCAGCATTGAACGAAATAATGTCTGTTCTGTA